GGGGTTTCGGGGGCCCCCCTTTTAAAAAGGGGATTTTTTTTTTTTTTTTTTTTTTTTTGAGAATGGGGGGAAAAAAAAGGAGCCCTTTGGGGGTTTTTTTTTTTGGGGGGTTTTTTTTTCGCGGGGGGGGGTTTTTTTTTCGCCCCGGAAAAAGGGGGGTTTTCCCCCCCAACCCCCCCCCCCCGGGGGTTTTGGGTTTGGGGAAGGGGACCCTGGTCCGGGGAAAACCCAGGGGGTCCCCCCCCTGGGTTGGGAGAGAAAAAGGTAAAATCCAAAGGGATTTGGGCAGGCCGGGGGCCCCCCCCCCCCCCCCCCCCCCTTTTTGGGGATCGGTAACTGGTCCCCTTACGCAGCAGTTATTATAGTTAGGGTATTCCCCACGGATGTGACACATGCTGTTTTTTTGTACGCCCTCCACGCGCCCGCTTCCTGGACGTGGCCAATTTCGTTTAACGGCAGAGGTGTTCAATTACATTTGTTTGCCACCACTCCAGCACCGTTTTTCTTCCGTTTTTTGTCCCCTCCCCCCCCCCCCGGGGGTATTCATGCGAACACCAAGCCGAGAAGAATTTGAGTAGAAGAAGTTTCCGCCAACTTTTTTTTTTTTTCTTAATATGACACAAGGAATCCATCTCTATCTGAAAAAAGGGTTTAAGATAGATTAGCAATGAATCCATGGCGTCAGAGGAAGGCTACCTGTATTTCCACGATTTCCCGTTGTTTTGGACCCCAAGTGGTAGTCACTCCTTCCCTATCCCACCCATTCGCCCGTCCGTCCCTTTAAAGTTTTTTTTTGGGGGGGGGGGATTTGATAATACATGAAAGTAATCCCTTCCAGGAGTGGACTCATGATATCACGGGACTGTCATGATCACGGGACTGTCATCATGTGTTGTTGTGATGCAAGCTGATATTGTAATAGCAGCAGGCAGCAGCACCCACCTACACATGGCCACCAGCCGCCAGCCGTGATGTTTCCCAAGCTCGAACAACTGACGTGTTTTGACTCGAACGTCCCGGCTAACCTCAACGACAAATCTGTACACAGCAGTCTTACCAATCACCGAAAGACTAACTAAATATTTATTCTGGCTCTGTTTGGTCGTTCGAGCAGGGAGAGCCGCTTCGGAGTCTTCCCGGCCGGCGCGCCCATGCAGCTGACCTTCCTCGGCACGGCTTCCTGCATCCCGTCCACGTCGCGGGGGGTCTCCTGCACCGTGCTCAGGAACGAGGGGGACCTGTGGCTCTTCGACGTTGGGGAGGGGACGCAGATTCAGGTGTGGTTCCGCTCTTTGGGGTGGGTTGGCGGGGAGCTGATGTTTGAAAATCATGTTTCGTTTTTTTCACGCGGGGTGCTTCCACGTGGCTTCGCAAGCAGCGAACACATGGTACTGCTGTACCAAGGCACTGAGGAGCACGCGGGATTTTTATCAAGATGACAACCTGTACATAGAGCGCCCCCTTCCCCCCCCGGTGTTTGCCATCGGGGTTGGGTTTTCGTCGCTTGGCAACGACGTTGTAAAACAAGCCGCCCCCCCCCGGTGTTTGCCATCGGGGTTTGGGTTTTCGTCGCCTGGCAACGACGTTGTAAAACAAGCCCCCCACTCGGTGTTTGCCATCGGAATTGGGTTTTCGTCGCTTGGCAACGACGTTGTAAAACAAGCCAATTCACTTCGTGAACTCGGCAACCAGGTTACCGTTTTTTTTTTTTCACCTCGTTTTTTTTTTTGGCGGTAACCATAATGGTGGTCGAGTAGATCATGTTGTGCGGGGTCGAGAAACCTCACTCCGCGCAACGGGGGATGATCGCACCACGTTGTGTTAAAATGGTCAAGCTTCCTCGAGGCAGTTACACAGTGCTTACAACTGTCTCTGGAAGTGAAAGCACCAGAAAATAAATTAAGTCATACGTAGCTGTCATCCGTACGCAAGGAAGTAAGCACAAGATGCCGAACACCCTTAGCAGGATGCAGCTCACCCTTCATGCGACTCGCCAAATACCTCACGGCGCTTCGCGCTTGGTGATGTGAGAGCCTGGTCCGGTGAGAACCCGGCGTGCTCCGTCCCGGCTTTGTAGGGATGCGAGGTCAATGGTCAAACGACTACGGCATGCACGACTATGAGTACACCCCCCCCCCCCCCCC